AGTTGGCGCGAAAAACCTTCAATAACTTTCTGAGGCGCAACTGCTGCACGAGACCTGCGCAGCGAGCGCTGCGGAAACAGATGAATTCGATACATTTGAAGTTAAGAAACCCGCGGAACAAACAGACCCGCCAAAGCTTTTCTTCGCAAACGCACTACAGACATTTGGCAGTCTAACAGGCCCGCCAAAGCACAGACATTTGGCAGTCTTCTAACACAGCTGCTTTGCCTTTCGCCTGTTCCTGTGCAACATGCGTTCACAGCCCTGTGGCCAAGCTGCCACAACTGTAGAAAAGAAGAGACTCACACCGCAGTCAGCCTGCACCGTCGCAGAGCGCATTGGGTTTGGCTTTTCGATCGAATGGTTGTTCTCATTTGTTTGGCCTTCGTCACTTTGCAAGGTTCGAAGAACCTCAGCCGCGCAGCCCTTGGCGCTGCGTGTCTCTAAACAAAGCAGAAGAGAAGGAAGAAAGAAAGACAGAGAGCAAAAAAGAAAGAAAGAAATAAAGAAAGAAAGAGAAGAAGAAAAATGAAGAAAAAACAGAAGAAAAAACAAGAGAGAAAGAAAAAAGACAGAACAATAAAAAGGAGGGGTATTTATTTTAGTTTTTTTTTTCTCGCTTTTGGCTTTTTGTCTTCTTGGCTTTTTGGCTTCTTGGCTTCTGGGCTTTTCGGCTTCTTGGCTTTTTGGCTTCTTGGGTTTTTGGCTTCTCGGCTTCTTGGCTTCTTGGGTTTTCGGCTTCTTGTTGGTTTATGCGGATTTTGGCGGCTTTGGCTTTTCACATCCTCTGCTTTCTCAGTTCCTCTCCGGGCAAGCACAAGTGTCTAGCTGGGTAGAAGCCGTACTGCTGGATGCTGGGTTTGAAGCAGACGTCACTGAAGTCACCCCCATTCTGCTGAAGCAGAAGATCGGAGCAGCCCTGGACCTGACGCTGGAAGATCTGATTGCAGATGGAGTCCCACGCCCAGCCAAAGTTCTGGCCCAGCCAAAGTTCTGGCCCAGAAGATCCGGCTGCAGGAGCCCGAGGCACGGCTGGAAAATCGTTCGCTCGATGTTCTGAGACTTGCAGTTGGTCGTTTGGTTTAGAATTTCGTGGGGCTGCCCTGATCACATCCACAAAACCAGGAAATCCCAAAATTGCATTTGTGCAGAGCGAAGCGCTTCCTGTCTTCATAGACTTCAACCGGCTGCGTTGTTGGCAGACGTGCTTTGACTCAGTGTGGAACCCCGCTTGTTTTTGTTTTGGCTGTCCCTGCTAGTGATCAATTTTCTTCCTAATTGCCGATGCAAGTTTTGTTTGTTGTGATTGCCCTTCCCAGCATTCCCTCTTGATTTGGGCACCTCCCGCGCAGGTTGAGCTCCCTCGTTTTAGCGCCACAGATCTCTTGGACTTCGAAGACCGCTTTTTGAACAGCCCAATCAACAACAAGGATGAGAGGCCGTTTCTGGAAAGGGAGGCGGTTGTTGAGAGTGTTGTGAAGCAACTAGAAAAGATCCAAAGGAACGGGACCAACAAGCCGACGGTGGTGGCCTTGTTTAGCCCGCGGGGAACGGGCAAGACATCTCTCATCCAACATTTGGCAACGGTCTCGCATTTTTTTTCGAAAGTCTACGGTGCGGGCGGCTCTTGGTTTTTGATGCGTCAAGGATTCCGTCAACACTGCTGCGCAAAGATTCTGATTTGCTGGTTTCTGCGATCATTTTGTGGCACCTTTGCCGCATCTTCGATGGCTACTCTGTGCAGGTGAGCCAAGGGCCACCCATTAGTTGGCGAGGTGCAGCGATTTGGTCAGCATATTGAAATCATCGAACCGCATCCGATCATTGCCAGCTTTCGACAGCTTTAAGGTTCGCTTACGTGGCTTCTTGTGACGGCTGCAGCGTTCAATGCAACACCAGCCTGCCCTTGCTTAGTGCTCCTCGATCAGGCAGAGCTGCTTGTGAATACACAGGTCAAGGGACTCAGCAAATCGGGTGGACAGAAATCGGCTTTCACCACAATATTAGGTGAATTCCCGCAGAAGATGGGCATGTTTTCGGCAGGCACGGTGAATATCTTGCTTGATAGGCCATCGGAGGAGTACACCATGCTTGAGGTCCAGGAAGTACCGCCTCTGGCGCCATTGTCGCTGCAAGCCGCCAGAAAGGCTATGATAGAATGGGGGGCACGCAATACAAGAAGAAGGAATTTGACAATCCCTGTTCCCTGCTGGGGTACCCCGGCTTCTGGAGGAGGCTTTCAAGAATGAGCTGGCAGCAACTCACAGACTGCAATCACCCTCATGTTGGACAAGTTGAAGAACTCGTATGCAGATGCAGCCCCCCCAGAAGTGGCTTGGCGTTGGTTCTTTGCTCGGCGGTTTGATGGCCTACAGAAGGCAACCAGCTTGTGCCCGAAACCTCAGTAAGGTGGTCAGACATCTTCAGGGCAGGAGCAGCATTTCCAAACAACAAGTCCGTACTGGTTCCACGTGTGGTGGATATGAAAGACGCCATCCGAAATGATTTGAAACAGCTGAACATTGACCTGGAGGGGCTCCTGCCAGATTCCTTGCAGTTGCTCAACAGCCCAAAAAGGGGTGCCGTTGAAAGGGGGGAGAAGTGGGAAGAGATGGTTGCAAATTCCCTGGCAGCGCGGTTCCGCCTTCTCTGTATAGCAAGAAACCTGCGTGCTGAAGTCACCTGGGTCCCTTTTTTGGAGATCTACCCTACGGAGGATCCACATTTGCGAGCTGTTTTGGAGCCGTTCGAAGTTTGCTGGAGTGATGGTGTGGAATATCCAAGCGGCGAAGGCAATGAAGCAACTGTCATGAGTGACGTTGGGAAGGCCATCAAGTCCAACCGGAATTTTGCAACGACTCACCACGACCTTGTAATCCCTGTGAGACGCAGTTGCAGTTCATTGCAAGCGCAATGTTGGTATGGAGAGAAAAAGGATGCAGGCGGCCTGAAGTTGCAGGACAAAGCAAAGAAGGACAGCTTTCAGGACATGCAAAATGTGTTGCTGCAGATTTGCAGTGAGTCTGAAGGCTGGCAGTCCTTTACACGCAAGACATGGGCCAGACGTCAGGAGGAGAAGAAATACTCTCTCATGAGTTGCGAGACTATCATTGCGCAGCTGGACGTGCTGAAGCTCTTGTGAGTGTACAAAAAACGCGCTAGCAGGTGGGAGCAGGGCGGACTTGCATTCACAAACTGAATGGGCGTTTTGGGCGGGGTCCAGGGGATACGCTCTAAGGTCAAGATTCGCAAAGTCGTGTTTGGGCTCCGTTGTCTCCCAGCCTGGATGCCTGGCACGCCTCTCTGGGTGGACGGGTTCATTTGTCTCCCTTTGTCTCCCTTCATCAGAACTCTCTCCACAAGCTAAGGCTGTTGCTTCCGTCAAGTCTGCTCAAGAAGTGCTTCTGGGCTGCCTGGGCCGCCCAAGAAGTCGTCCAGCTGTCGTGCAGCAGCAGGCCTGCCTCGCCTCGTCAGCCGCCGGCAGGGCCAGCTTCAGCAGGGTCTCCCGGCCCTTGGTGCTCCTGACGGTCATGGAGTCCACGGCCTGCAGCCGCTGCACGTCGCCGTACTGCGGGTTGAAGCTGCGCGCAGCGTTGGTGGGCGCCCTGAAGGCTGATGCGAACTTGTCGGCGTTATCCTGCAGCAGCCGGAACTCGGTGTCCGGCTGCTTTTCCACGTCCTCCGGAGCCCCGTGCGCCGTCTCGTGCGGCCGGGCGTTGTAGGCCCCCGCAGCCTGCTCGAAGTGGTCGCCCCACTGCCCGCCCCTGCGGGCCACTCGCGTCGCCAGGTCCTTCTTGAGGGTCTGGATGCCCCGGTCCGCCACGGCCGGTCCTCGGGCCACTTCGTGCGGCGCACGGCCTCCGCCGGCAGCCTCCGGTCCAGCATGGCGAACTTGTTGCCCAGGTCGGTGGTTGACCACGAAGTTGCGCTCCCGCCCACCAGCTCCTGCGTGGCCCGCTTGGTGGCCACTTGCCGACTCGGTGCTCTTGCTCTGCAGCGGCTGCACGGCCGCCGGGTGAAGACGTCCATGACCACCAGGCCGTTATTGGCCAGGTAGACACTGTGTCGCTCGGAAACACTTTGTTACCAGCGCCTGTCAGCGCCTTAGTCATTCAAACAGCTGCAATTTTGTCCCCCAGTTGTCCCCTTGTGCCACGCAGTTTAACGGTGCCACGTAACATCAAGGCAAACCGCAGCATGTCCAATGCTTCTCTAAGCATTCGTACATTTTCTGAGCGGGGGTGGGACTGCTGGGTGCCAGCGGGAAGAACCTCTGCGGGGATCGTGCGTGTCGAAGCTCTCTTGCTGTGGTGCCGCACGAGTTTTGAGACAAAAAATCACCGTCTGCTTTGCGCAGTTTTTTTGGCGCACATGCTTTGTGTTGCCCTGGCATGTTTTGGTAGGCAGTCGCTAGGGACCCAGTGTGCGTTCATCCGTGTCTCGGTTTGATTTACGGAGCCCAAATCTAGCAGAAGTGCGTCGCGCAAACCACATGTTTTGTTAGTCGCATTAAGCTGCTTGGGCGTTGTAGTTCCTTCTTTTCAAACTTAGCTGGGCGATTGACTTTGCGTTGCTAAACGCCAACACCACACCCCAACATGATGTCATCAAAGCCTATTTTAAGACAATCGTGCCAAACGAAGGGGAGAAGAACACGGGAAAACTTGTCAAGTTTGGACCTGCCGTCTCTGCTTTGTTTTGGCTAGCTATTCTCAGTTCGACAGTTTTTGGTGGTGGATGAGTCCATTACTCCCACAAGCAGAATCACTGTTGCCAGGCTCAAAACATCCGGGCGCATGCCAGTGCCACAGCACTACGCAGGTGGCTACGCATGGAAATGCAATTGGAACTCGGAACAAACATCTATTGAGAGGTTGGCTGAAGGAACTGTTTACAGCAGTGGCGGAGCGTGGAAGAATCAGAAAAGGACGACGACGAAGCAGAGACAAACATAGAGAAACAAATCCGGAACGGAACAAGGGCGGTTCGCAAGCAATGTTTGCACCGGCTTTGCATGTCAAGTAGAGCCCTGACACCCTGACAATGGCAGCTTTCCGCCTGGCCCTCGACGGGGTTGCCAAGGAAACAGGAGTTTCAGTCGCTAATGTCCGGACAGCCTGAGAGGAAACCGACAAAAACCTTGGTGGCACGCAGATTATAAATGGCAGAGCGAGCATTTGGTACGCCGTGTCTGGATGAGTCAATAGCATTGCCAGCCCCAGAAGCGTGAAAGGAACCATCGTCACAGGTGAAGGTACGTGAAGGTACGGTTGGCGTAATTGGCAAAGAACAGGCAAGCATTTTGGCTTGGCGTGGCTTGAGGTGCTGTACTCTGAAGCAATAAGGAATGTATTGTGTTACAATCCAAGCATGCCCCTTCTGCATGACTGCATGAGCGCGCCGGCCCTTTGAGGTAGGTGGGTTGGGTGTTGGGTCCGCCTTTGCACTCCTGCTTCATCCACTTGGCGCTGGACTGGGTCGAGCCGCGCGGGTGCACTGAGTGGCATTGGCTTCGCTGGTTGCGGGGCTGGTTGGCTAGCTGCTCGGGCCGGTGCTTGAGGCCCGTAGCCGCTGCCCGGGCCGCTGTTTACACGGCCACACTTCGCAGAGCGACTGGGCCGTGGGATGCAAGCCCGCCTTGACCATGTGGACTTGGAGGTGATTGAGTTGCGCAAGGAGGTTCGGTGATGGCTGCGCCAGGCGGTTTCCGGGTTTCCGCCCTCACTTTGCTGGGGAGGAAGCCGATGTCGAGTGGCCCTGCCACACTGCGACCGCTTTGACCTGGGTCGAGAAGGCCCTACGAACTTGCCGGTGAGACCATGGACGATGTTTGTTGTGTGGGCCGGCGCCTGCGTGTGGGCCATGACCTGCTTGTCAGAGTCCCGCCCTATGCGGTGCGCCGCTACGGGGACGTGAGCTTCCAACAAAGGTGCCCCGTCCAGCTACCCTGTCTTGGCGGCGCAGAGGCGGGTTCCCCAGCTCAAGCCGTTTGTTCACTTATGCTGGGAGTTGGCCTCAAGATGGGAAAGGTGCGAGCCTGTTAGACACCGAACCCCTGTCCCTCAACCTGTGCTTCAAGCCCTTGTGTTGCTGGCTTGGACAAGGTGGGCTGGATGTGCAGTTGTAGCGTACTTCGGCTAGGCCGAGTTGGGGAGGTCTTGAAGTGCAAGCGGAAAGATCTTCTCTTCCCGGGCGATTTGTTACGCAGTAGACGCAGAGCCAGGAGCCAAGGGGCAACGCAACAAGGTTGATGACCCCGATGCGGTTCGGTTGCTTGAGTCCGCGTAGACAAGGATGAGGAGCTCTACGACTCATCTGCTGGTGTCTTCAGAAGGAGGTGGGTTTTCTTTGCGCCTCGCTGCTGATCCCGGCTAAGCTTCTGACTCCTGGTGGTTTACGAGGCGGCGGAGTTGTTACTGCACACAAGAAGGGAGTTAGCGTCCCACATTCTGTGGCGTATGCGGTTGCAGCAGGAGGATGTTGCGGCTCTGTCAGCTTTGACTGACCTTTCGCCTTTTGCCCTCGTCTTTGCGGTTGGTCAGTGGCTTCAATGTTTCCGCATCTTGCCCACTGACCAGGGCGTTGGGCAACGCCTTTCGGCCTTGAAGCCCTTTGTACCTGGAGCGCCTCTTGTACAGGTGGATTGGCATGGGTGTCATCAGGGTCTGCTGATGAGGGAGCTCTTCATGGGCCTCGAGCGCATGTTCGGCGCCTCAACATCCCGAGCTTCGAGCGCTAGCTTGCCCCTGCAGCAGCAGTGAGAGACCTTTTGGGCGCTGGTGGAAAACAGCGCGGCAGATGTGGCAGGAATTTCAATGGTGATTGAATGAACACGCAGTTCTATCCAGGACGTGCGCATGAAGCATCCGCAAGCCAAACATTCAGTGGAATTGATTTCCAATAGCCACAGCTACTGTGTTTGGCGCCGGTGTAGAACGGCTAGACTTCTTGTCCACTGATTGACGGGTCAGGATGAACGGATAGCCACCTACATATTTTTGTACAAGAGAGATTCTTTGGCAGTTGTTTGCTTTATGGGCGCAGTTTCAGTTTGAGGGGACCGTTGGGCTGCCAGGCGGACTGGAAGAGGCAGTGCAGGAGCGTTGCTGCAAGGGGTTTATTGCAACACGTTCAGCTCAGGTTTCAGCGCCGGTCAAGCAGTTGCAGGGAGTGTACACTTTAGGACGTTTGGACAATTCTCTCTGAAACTTGACGGCTCACATGGCAAGGATCCAGACCAGCTTGTGAAATTTCTATGCTGCCGCCTCAGAATGCCAATCAAGACTTGATGTGGGCTCCCAAATGAGGGGGTGCTTTGCAAACAGCGTCCCACAAGTACTTTTTGGACTTCCTGGGGATTTGTTGTAAACAAACCAAAGAACCTCAGTGACTTTAGGGATCCCAGCTTCGTGGAGAAAGTCACAGGAGGTTTTTGCGTTCCAGCCCTTTGTCTGGGCAGGGTGTATTCTGCCCAAAAAGGGATTAGGTTCTTCAAGCTCATGTGCAGTGTCATATTTTTCTTTTTCCTTCTTGAACCCCCTTTTGGGAGCGGGGGGCGGGGGGTTTGGGGGAAGCCAAAAGAAAAAACACCCCTTTATTGAAAAGGGTTTCGTAGGGACCCGACAAAAGCCCCGTTGAATTGGGACAGGCTCCAAGTTCTCCCAGCTCATCGAGCGCGTGGGTGTGGCGGAGGAGGGGCAGCGGGAGGCGCAGCAGAGGGCGGAGCTTCTGCGGCCAGGGCGCCCGGGAGCGTTGCCCCAAGCCTCTCCGAGAGCCGTGCGCGTGTCAGTTTTAGAGGGCTCCACCAAAAAGATCTCCATTGTGCCAGTTGAAACATGTGACGCTTTTTCCACCAAAGTGAAGGGACGCCTCCATTTACAAGGCTGTTTTTGGGATGGTAAAGATCCGAGGATTCGAGGTAACGGTAGGCGGGGGGTAGAACCTTGAACAAAGAGACGCACCTTAAAAGGGCAAGCAACACGAGGCTGGTTCGACCAATTGAACAGCGGCTTTTGGCCCTAGTCCGAGGGGTTTGGCGCTCATCCGGGTTGGTCTGCCGCACTTTGGCGGCAAGGAGACCCTTTTGAGTCTTCGTTTGTCGCAGTCTCGGGGCAACAAGAACGAGCTCCCGGCAGCTTCGGGAGGTGCCGCTTGGGGGGCGTGTTGAGGCAGAAGCTGCGGCAAGAAACGGAGCAGCGGCAGGCGCACCATGTTTTCTTGTTAGAAGGGAGATCTGGACTTGTCTCCTTTACATGCAGAATGTGATGAGGTCTGGCTCAACATCAGCAAACAAGAGGCATGTGAGGAGGCTTCTTGAACAATTCTAGCGTCTATGGTCAACTTGCGAGGTCACTAAATGTCTGACAAAAACCAAGGGGACTCACTCATTCTACCATGACCATTGCGGGAAGTGCATAATTGGACCGTGCTTCTCTGAATCAGCCATTGCAGTCGCTGACACGAGGCGATCACTGCTCAGCCGGGACACTTAGGCTGGCACAGGTTTAGAAACAGCCACTTGCTTTACTTCGCCGTTCTTGGCATGTTTTTTGGTTTTTTAGTTTTTTGGTTCTGTTCATTTTTACTGGGGGTCTGCAAAAAGAAAGTTTTTTGCTACCATACCAAGAGTAGAGATGTTTTGGGGCCTTCTTTTGTTTGGTACGGAACCAAAAGGACGTCGAGCATTTGTTTGGCCCATTTCCTCAGTTTGAGACCAGCCCTTGTTCCGGCTGAGGATGCAGGGCTCGCTGAGGACGCAGCTGGCGGAGGCGTGGTTTTGAAGGCAATACGGCGACAGGAAGACAACCTGAAATGTGGAATCAGTCAGATGGCCAAACAAAGGCCAGGTCCCCCCCCCCCCCAAACCAAACAAAGGCCAGATTGGACAAAACTGGGCGACCAGGGACCGGCTGGGTGAAGCTGATGTCAGGCCGAAGCAGCTCAACAGCGGTTGAAAGAAGCTAGGCTGGGACAGCGCCTTGATTGAGCTTGACACTCTGAGGATCTGCTTGGGTGTGCGGGTCTGTTGAATTTCACATAGTTTGAGGTTTGGGCGGCAAGAAGGCAGATGCAGCTCATTCAAGGATCACAGGAGAGTCTGTGCCAAGCGACCCTACCTGGTGCAGGGCAAGTGCTGACTTTGCTTCAGCAGAGGTGCTGCGAGCCAAAGAGGTGCGAGCCATGTGTGTGTGTGTGTGTGTGCGCGCTACAACCTTCAACTTCGTGGCTACCTCTTTCCAGAACTTCGACCAGAGCATAGGTGTTTTCAACTCAGAACATCTACAAATGTGTGTCTTTTCTTTGAGGGACACTATGTTTTGGTGGTTTTGACGGGAAACTAAGAGCCCACCAGCTTGGGGGGTCCGCTCAAAAAAGACGAGCCACCCAGCTCTTAGACATGGCCAGGCAGCTCACACTCTCAACGAGGAGTGCGAGAGGCTAAGCTCGCCTCCGGCTCAGCTGTTTCAGAGATGCTTACAGCTGTTAGAAGGGTTCCCCCAGTTTTTTTGGGTTGGTTAAGAAAACCAACAGCAACACCCGTCCGTTTTTCCTCGGTCCAGCTATTTGAGGATCCCAGGCGAGTTGGCTGAAGTCTTGCTATATAATTGCCTGCTTGGAGCGGCGCAGAGGCAGTGCCGGGAGGAACAGAAGAGCCTTGAGGAGAGCTGCTGGCACTGCATCTGCGGAATTTGCAAGACTTGATTTGGGTCTGGGTCAAAATGAAACCCCATGTTTCCATTTACCAGGGTTCCATTTTGGGTACCGCTTTTTTGAGCCACAGCCATTGGGGTGTGGCTCAAGTATACACAGGAGGGGTTACGCAGGTTTTGGTGCATGTTTTCACTTACCAGGGTTCCATTTTGGTACCGCTTTTTTGAGCCACAGCCATTTCAACCAGTTGCTTCTCTAAGATCCGACGTTGGCAGCATTTTTTACGTAGCTTTGTCCTGTGGACACATGTGGCAAGCATTGGAGGGGCTTGCATGGAGGCCGAGACGACTTGAATGTGCGTGACCTGACCTCTCAAAACCTCCACCTTTCCCACCTTCCCTCCAGTTTTTTTCTTTTTTATTATTACTTTCTCGAGCAATACTGACTAGGGACGCGGACAGCTATATTACATATCTATGCTTTCATAACTTTCATAACTTTCATATGTATATACATATATGCATGCACATCAGCAGCAGTGAATCCCGTGGTGTTTGTTTGTTTGTGGCCTTTGCGGGGTAGTTTTGGTGGCATCACCTGCACCAGAACTTGCATCCTGGCCTGTCCACCAAAAAAGCACCTCCAGCTAAAGCAGAGTCAGAGATCTCTTGCTCAGGAGGCCTCCAGCCGACGGCAGCAGGAGGAGCAGCGAACAGCGCAGCAAGGGCTCCAAGGGGACCCGTGCCAGGTTTTAGAATCTGCTTGTTTTGTGTGTGTGTTTTTTCCTTCTGTCTTTTTTCCGTTGTTTTCTCTGTTTCTTTTTGTTTCCAGTGTTTTCTTTTTTTGGGGGTGGGAAATGAAAGGGAGAACAGAAGCCATTTTGGGTTTCCCCTTTTGAACACACAGCCCTCTTTGCTCTAGCTCACATGCATGGATTGTTGGGAAGCAGCTCCAGCCTCCCACTTGCGCCCGTTGAACCACGGCATTTGGTGCTTGGTGCTCGGGAGCCAGCGAGCCAACAGGGGCAGGGCAGGAAGGTCTTGCGATTTCTGGTGACATGTGCCACGCATCAATATGCAAGCATCTCTAAGGTCGTTTCAGTGTTCCGTCATTTGTTGTCGGAGGGAAGCAGTTCAGTGATGCGAGGATAGTGGACAGTGCAGTATTATATAGACCAACGACTTGATTGGTCTGCTTGGAGTCTCCTTCTACTTCGTGTGGTTGGTTTGAGAAGCAAGCCGGCAGCACCAGGTGTGAGCGCGAACGCGCGCGGCTGCGAGCTGAGGTGGAGGCGCTGCAGTCCATTTGTTTGGGGTTTTCTTGGGGTGGTTCTTCGGCCGGAAGGCGGAAAGTGCGGATGAAGAGGGATTCATGTTGTTTTTCACGGACGCAACGCATGGATCGTGGATGGACGAAAGCTGTGCCTCTCCTGGGTGCTTCTCTCCTTGCAAGACGCCCCCTCGCACGTCGCAAGTCCACAGGCGGTGTCGCAACGCCTCACCTGCCAAGAGGAGGAGCTGGCCGCAGGCCATTGAAGCCCGAGGAAGCTTGGGGGACAGTCCTCAAAGCCTGAGAGACATCAGAGAAGATAAAACGCCTTTCTTTTTTCCTTTTTTTTTTTTGGGGGGGGGTTCGGGTTCTTGAACGTGACTCGGTGATGCGTCAGAAGAATAGGCCGTTTTGGTTCTTTGCTTGTAAGGTTGCGGGGAGACCTTGAGGTTTTTGACCGTGACTTGGCGAGAATCAGAAGGACAGCGCTCGGACTGCGCGAGGCTACCGGCGTGACCGGTTGCGGAGGTCGGAGCTGCGGCAGCTGGAAACGAAGCTGCAGGATGCAGGCCAGTCGTAACGTGGGCCTTGTGCCACGAGCGTTGGTCCACCTTTGCCTGCATCTTTGGCCCAATTTTGAAAGGGTAACCCGTTTGGCGGGTCTTAGTCCCCCCCAAAAAAGAGACACCGAAGTTGGCTCAAGAGAAACCCATATTTCCGACCACTTCGTGTTGCAGTTGTGTGCGCAGGACGGCAGCGCGTGGCTGCAAAGAAGCGGTTGCAAGGCATTCAGGACGGGACAGAGGGACAGGGGTGAGAGGGGCTGCAAACGTCACACCGCAGCTTGCCAGTTCCATGGCCCAGTCGTCACTGTCTTACCAGGATGAGCTTGCAAGCGTGCACAAGCAGGCGTGGACTGTTCGCTGCTGGCAAGAGTCGGTCGGACGCGATGCAAGCACCGGCCATACCCCCAACAAATGAACCCTTTCCTGCCGCTCCGACCCTCCCGCTTTTTTCCCGCTGTGCGGATCAAGGATTCAGAGTCATCGAACTTGCATGGAGCCGCTCGCTTTGGCTCAGGTGGCTCAGTACAAAGAGCGGCTCGAAGGTGCGCAGCACATGCTGGCCGTCAGTCAGGAGGCCGATTGGATTCTGCCCCGTTCCTTCGAGGGAAGAAATTTCAATTGGACCCTTTGGACATAAGACCAGGAGTTCTCACCAATCAATTGGGGCCGTTCAAACCATGCATCGCGGTGACTCTGGTGGATGCTCCGAGTGGCGGAGTTCACAAAGTTTGATTTTGGTTCCGATGAAAAACAATCCCCAAAATGGGTAGCCTCAAAAAAGACGCTCATGTTTCCATTTGGAGGTTTCTTCTTGAAAAACTCAACCATATCGACCTTTATCTCCTTCGCTACCCCCCCTGCCTCAACTCGTTTTGCAACCTCCGTGCCGGTTCCCTACACGTGCTTTCTTTTTTTGAGGGAAGGACCCCCCTTTTGGTTTTTGTTTCGCTGGAAGCAAAAAAGCGAAGAATGCGTCCCCTTTGCGACGCATGGCCACATGAGCCACATGGACCACGAGGAGCTGCAAGGCGAGGTGGGGTCCCGGGAGACTGCGGAGCGGGAGAAGCTGCAGACGGCGCAGGAGGCTGGGATGCGCTGGCCCTCGAACTCGCGCTCGAAGCGTGGTTTTGCTGGTTTTGGGAAGTGATCTCAGGTGATCTCAACGAGTTTCACGAAAGGCCCACGTTTTAGCTCACGCATCAAAAAGGCTGGTTGGGTATCCATGACACAGGTGGGAACTTACAGAGCAGGCAGCGGCCCCTCTTTTTCTTATTTGTGTCTCATGGGGACTATCCGGCAGAATCGGCATCCATCAGTGAAGGCATTGTTGATGGGCGCTGCTTTTGTGCAATTGCACCATCTGGGTGTCGCGGACACTGCCGACCTTGCTTGTTTCTTCAGCAGTAAAGCTGATGTCTTTGACCATTTGAGTGACGTGGAGGTTGTCAGCGTGACCGCGGCTGAGTCGTCCGCAGCGAAAGGCGCCCCATTTGCGCAGCTGCGACGAGGCAGCACGTAATGGATGCGACTTGTAAAGTGGCTGTTGCCGCAGGCTCACGAAGCGTCAAGCCCGAGCTAAGCTTGTCTCCCTTGGTTCGCCGAAAGTTTCCGGAACCGCCTGGAAGGCGCGTTCCAGAGATGGGCCACGTACGGAGCCACCGCATCGTTGCGGCAGGGCGCTGCTTCAGGGCGCCTTGCGCGGCAAGCGGGGCCATGTCCGGTTTCTGAGGCGCCCGTGGCTCACGGGGCAGACCCGAGCCTATAGGGAAGGGACATACTTCCCTTTCCTTTGCTTGCGGTCAGGTCCGGCTCTGTTTCTTCCCTGCCATTCTTCAATGTAGCAGTTCTTTGAGGAGCTGCAACCGGGGCGAAGAGACGTTCGCAAGGTGGCCGTCGTGGCAGCAGATGTCAACCCGGGGTGAAATTGTTGGAAGATCTGGCAGAACCTTCGCGGCGTGCGACGTAGATATCAAACAAAACTATCTGCGCATCAGTGCGGCGACTTGGAAAGAGCAATGCGGCAGCCCCAGACACGGCCTGAGCGGCCCGATTTGTCTGGCAGATGCCTTGCAGTGAGTAAGGCCGCAGATCTGAGTGAGGCAGCCAGAGCGCATAGGTGGAAGCTCGCCGCTCATTGAGCGTCAGCCATTGTGGCAACGGTCCCACCAAAGGCCCGCAAATCTGAGTAAGGCAGCTTATTGCTGTGCTCATCAACAGTGTTTGTGGATCATCGCAAAGTTGGTGTGCGCCAGAGAGCCAAGGACATGTCACTGTAGCTTTGACACGGGGCTTGACATGGGCTCTCTTCGGATAGAACTGTATGAAAAAACTGTTCGCTGCGCATTGCACGCAACGTTGACCGTGTCCATTGATTGATGTTTGCCTTGGTCTCATCGTCGCAGTTTGCGTCAGCCGTGTCAGGAAGCCCTTGCGCGGGAAGGTCTCGAGAGGTTGCGGCAATTGAAGGCACAGTGTGTCGGGGGGAGTCGGGGCGCGGTTGACTCAAACGTTGGCTTCTACTCTCTGCTTGGACTCGAATAAGAATGTACCACATTTGTCGAACTGCACAGGAGCTATGCTTATAAAAATTGATTTGCTTGATCGGCAAAATGTCTTACCTTGAGTTGCAGCATCACAGCCTTGCACGTCAGAAACGCCGCGTTTGAGGCAGCTGGCTGCCATTTCTCCTTGTTCTGATGTGATGGGCTGTCAGGGCAAAAACTGTTGGTACAGGTCCCAAGGACAGGGCGCACCTGCTTATGGCACCAGCGGTGGACTTGCCAGTCCTAGAATCCTCTGATCAATTTTTTCCGCGCATTTGATCTTCCCAGGTGCAGGTTGCAGACATGGATGCCTTGTTGGCAAGAGCCCACCCCCCCCCCAAACCCCCCCTTACCCCTCTGGCCGGAGGCACGGCTGGAAGCAGCGCTGCGGGAGAACGTGGAGGCCCACAGCCAGCTGAAGGCCCGGATCCGAGGGATCCGATCTCCTTGCCCTTGGCTCACTCAGCGAGTTTCGGAATGAAAGGAAGCCGTTTCTGGCCATGCCTCCATTCGTTGACCTGATTGTATCGCTTGACCTGCTAGGTGAGCAAAAAGATCGCTTGACCCCGTAGTCGTTAGGGGACACTCGCGGTTCGCTTTGGCTGGTTTGTATGGGCAACGGATGTCGCAGATTGTGATGTGACCGGGGTGCATCTAACATGATGTGGGTGCTTGGGAACCTCGCAGTTCCTGTGCTGCTGGCCGTAGTCTCTGCTTTCTGACCCGCTCTTAACGCCTTGGTGCGGCAACTTCTGCAATGCAAGGAAGACTCTGACCTTGGGTCATCTGCATCCCCTGACGGGTGTTCTTTCAAACTGGGTCCTTGATTCGAAAGTATTTTGCTGAGAGACTCAGGCCTCGATTTTGCTTCCTTTGCTGGGTTTCGTTTTGGGACTTAGCCCGTTGTTTTGGCTTTTGCGCGTCACTCAGCCGGTGACTTTGGTCGGATCATGGGAGCCGATTCGCCGACGCGCCAGGCCATTCAGCTGAAGCACCGCAGCGCGCAGGAGCTAGCAGATGCCACAGACGCCAGGCAGGGGTGTTTTCTGGCACACGGCTGGCCGAGTGCGGGGTGTCAGAATAGTGAGCCCTGTGTTGGACCTGCCACAGATTGGCGGCACAGAAATTGGCGTCTAGCCGTGGGTCAAAATTAATGGGATCCCATTTTGGGGTAGGTGAATTCACCACCCATTTTAGTCGGGATTTTAGTGGGGATTGGTTCACTGGGGGTACGATTTGGATTTTGACCCGTGGCCATCTGGGTCCAGAAAAAGGCCGGGTGGCTGCAAGGATGTGTCAAGGTAAGAATGTTGCAATCACAATCCTGACAAACAAATGTTGGCCTGAGCGCCCCTGCACCTGCCAATGAGGATTGACACTGAATAGCAACCGTCTGACCGCACAGCTGCCAGCACATCCTAGAGACCTGTTTGATCTCCCCAATGTGCCAACCGTCCATCTTGACATCATTCAAACAGAAAGAGGTAATGTAAAAGGGCACGTTGGCCCATCTTGAAAATGGCTGGCTGTCAAAGGATCAAGATGGTTGGCCTGGACACATTGGTAATCGCGGCAAAAACATAGTGGACCCCCAAAATGAGCGGTTGCTTCTTGGTTTCCGTTCAAAGCCAGACAAGAGAGGGTCCCACCATTTCGCTGTTGCAGGCAGAAAGAAGCCTTGTCCCGCCTGGCGAGCATCGACATCTGCTCAGCAGAGGCAAGAAACATATCGCCGGCAGCGAGTTGATTCGGGCTGAGTGGCCCGGGCTTGCAGGGTCTCATTGCTTTTGATCCATGGAACAGGAAGGCTCTAAGATCCAGGATGCCTTCAGATTTGTTTGGCCTGAGTTCAGCGATCGGCCGTTTTCTTGGGGTGGCAACTTTTAGAATTTATCAGCGATCGGCTGTTTTTTTTTTTTGGTGGCAACCCATGTGAGTTTTGGTGCGACGAGAACACCGCGAGAGGCCGACTTGGAGCGGTGGCAGCAGCGGCTGCAGGTCGGCGAACCTTGATTTTGGCGAACCCATGGCACCTTTTTTCGGGGTTTGGTGTAAACCAAAGTACCGAAACCCGAAATCCATGGGTCCACCTGCGTTTGCCACATACAACAAATTGGTTGTGGTGGCCAACACAACAGCTTTCGGAAAGGCCGATGTAAGTGGCGAGCTTGCGTTTTTTTTCTCCTTATTTTTTTATTCTTTTTCTGGTGGGTGTTCAACAGAAGCGACTAGCTTTTGCAATCTGCTCGCAAATATGAGTCAGGCCCCCCGAGAGGGTCGGGGACTACAAGAAAAGGTGTTCGTTTTGTATCTTGAGGCTGGGCCCCTTCACTTCAAACCCAGGCGCTGGCCGTTCCTCAAAACTGTGGACCTCATCTCATGTCCCTCTATTTTCGTCAAATTTTGGGCTTCGCCCAACCTTCCAGCTGACCCAGGGACAAATGCAGCAAACTCGCATCTTTGCTGTTGATGCTTGTGATTGCTGTTGTTGACTCTGACTCGCCCTTTCCCCGCACAAATCTCTCAAATAAACGCTCCGAAAGACCGCACAGAAGGCAAGCTGGACCGCCGCCTTGCTGATGCGATATTTGTTGATCGACTCTGCAGCTTGGTGGCCGCCTTCCTCCTTCGATGCGAGAATGGGAGAGGAGCACTCAGCTTGCCCGAGCTTAGCCATGCGCTCTCGTCAGTTTTTCCCGCTAAACCTGACCTCAAGCGCGGATGTGGGTTGTTTCAATGGGAGGACTTCTCAAAAAAGCAACAATTGAAACTGGCCCCCATCCATGCAGTTCTAGGACACGATCGGTACAAAATGAAAGAGTACCCGGACTTACGACGTGTCCAAAGTATTCCTGTTCGGTTCAAGATGAAGTGAGCTTCCTTTCTTTGGTTTGCTTCAGCAACCATGAGAACCCTTTTGCAGTGCTCTTGTGTAGAATGGGGGTCGGAGCCCTGTTTCATTCTTGACGGCAATGAGATGACCCGGGTCACTGAGTGTCAGCAATCCAGCACCCCATTTTATATATGTGAGACCAATGGAGAGACAATGGGGGAACATGCATCCAGAACACACATTAGGGGACATTTGTCATGCCTTCCAGGGAAGCAGAGAAACACATAGCTCAACACTGCCTGCATCAGTTTGCATAGCGAGCCAAATACATCGTGCCCCCGCAGGCAGTCAGCGAGTCCATCAACAAGCTGAGGCGTGGGCAGAGACAGAGCAATGATCTAATGATGAGTCTCAGGTTTTTGGAGTCAGGACTGGGCACGCGTGACCTCCCTTTTCCTTTTGGTTTCCGTTGAAAAGTCCGAAACCCAACTGCTCCAATAGCTTGGCAGGTCCACCTTGCAGGATCTAGAGGAGAGCACCAAGGCGGGAAAGCGCCGGAACCGGACTTGTCTCTGAGAACCCCCGAATTGAGTGCGCAAGCGGCACACAAGCCACGTTTGGTATTCGGATCTTTTTCTCAGCTTCCCGGTGGGACAGGAATCTGTGTCAGAAACTGGGTGATTCTCAAGCCGCTCGCCAGGGAGCCAGCCAAGTAGGGCTTTCTTTGCAGGCCTGCGGCGCGTGGGGGGAAGGCACAGAACAGATATGAGATTTGGGCAACATATTTGCTGAGAGGCATGGGAGGGTTGGTGGGATCATATTTGGTTCGGCCTCCCTTTGACAACCAAGCAAACAAGGGCCTCCCTTGACGGTAGTCTCAGAGGCATGAAGGCTACCCCAAAATGAAAGGGACGGTGGTGCGGCCGCCAATCCTGGACGAGGTTCGGGTTGGGAACCATCCGCAGTAAAACCCCATAGGATTTCTTTGCGCCTGAGCTTTCACCGCTCCCAACGGACGCGTGCAGGAGGAGCTGCAAAGAGTCTTCCTGGGGACCGAGCGGCTTCGGCAGGAAAGAGAGGAGGCGAGGCGTTCGGAGATTTCCAACTGGGCTTGCGCATAGCTGTCCCGTGTGGTTGATGTGGTTGATGTGGTTGAGTGGCCTGGTTTACCTGGTGGCAGCTGAGAGTTTGGCCCTTGAGAGTTGCGTCAAGGCCCTCATTGGCACGCAATGCATTCGGCGAAACCAAAACAACCACTGGGCCCGTCGTTTTGGAGGGCACCCTTTTTTGGGGTGGTGGTTTTTCAGGGGCGCTTTTTTTGGGGAGAAGCCGGCGGATTTTCGGTTGGGCTCCGACGAGCGCGGCGCGCGAGGCCGCGCTGGGGGCCAACGAGGCCTCTGGCCGGCTCCGTGCCGCGGAGCCGGCGCTGGAGGCGGCGAGGCCTTCGGGGGGGGGAAGGGGGGGAAGGGGGGGGGGATCCCTTGGCCGGTTTGGAGGTCATTGCTTAGTCAGTGCCGCTGCGTCAAAGGACATCCCGGCCGTCTCAGGTGTTTTGTTTTGGATTGGTTTGAAGCGTTCCAACTGCTCTTCTCGTGACAACAACAAGTGCACGGTGCTGGTGCTGTAGGCTCAGTTTCACGGAGCATCCGAGGCGGCGTGCCAGAGAGCTGGAGGGGAAGCTGGAGGACGCAGGGATTGGTCAGAGGGGGTTCCTTCAGGACCAGTCTCTTTGCACTGAGAGAGCGCTCGAACGATGGGCGCGTTTCTTTTTAAGTGTACCTTTTTTTCTCTTTTTTTAAAGGGAAGCCAAGAGGAAACAGCCATTCTAGGGGTACACACAAAGGTGGCAATATGATAGTCATAGGACAAAAATAGCTTGCTGAGGAATTCGAAACTTGCTAGCTTGGCCACGAAGCTTGCATGACCTTGGGGCAGTTTCGCAAAATGTTTAAGCAACCATTTGCTTTTCATTGTGTTCCTGCTGATCCCCTTACAAGGGGCCAGTTTGTGCGCCCCTTGCTCCTATTGTGCCGTTATTCTGTGATTGGCCTTGGCCGAGCATTTCAATGTCCTTCAACAGGAAAACACTTGAGACCCAGAAGGTTTCTAATCAGTTGCACCTTGCGCAACAAGCTGGTCTCTACTTGGACTCTTTCTGGGAATCATGAAGGTTAACCGGGGTTGTGGCGTGACTTTGATCGTGAAACGGGGCCAAGACCAAGGAGGGTTGGCATGCATTTGGGCAAAGTCGCACCTCCTGCCTGATCCTAGGACTCTCAGAGTGAGGTGGCGCGGTGCAAGCAGCACAAGGAGAGCTTCCTCCTTGAGGAGGGCTGGGTGGCAGTGGGTATTTGGTCTCCTGGGAGGGCCTGAGACGTGCTTGTCCAGGTGTGACTGCAAAAGGCTGATGGTAGACCCTTGTGCTTGTCATGAAGCAAACGGAATTACAAACTGGAATTGCCCGCCAAAAGCAAACAACAGGTGCAATCACCCACGATGGCCGGTTGGCTCGCTGGCGACGTTGGCCAACAAGGCAGATGCAAACCCCTTTGGGGGGTTGGGCAGGGGTTCCCTTCTTTTGTGTTTTCCCGCAAAAGGCAGATGTACACCCCCCGAGCGGGTTGACTCCCCACAGGTTTTCCCTAGGCCCAGCTTGGGATTTTCATACTGCCTGGCAATCCAGGTGCGGCAGCAGCGGGAGAAGATGCGGGGCCTGCGGAAGCGCCATACCGTGCTCTCGGAGAAGGCGAAAGCTGGGTCGGTGGACTGTTTTTTTGCACACTGCTTTGGGGGGGGGGGGTTTGTTAAAAGGGAAACCCAAGGGAAGACACGACAACGTTTTTGGGGTCCTCTATTGTAGACGCTCACGGGCTTCGTGAAGCCGCACAAAGATTGTCAACGCAAAAAGCTTGTTACTCTCGATTTGTGCATGTCATCCTTGCGCAGGCCATTCTTATTTTCTCTGTATCGTTCCAACTTTATCGGATGATCGCCGCACCCATTTGTCCTAAAATAGCGAGAGAGGGAGGAGGGGGTTACCTTCAAAGCTTTCAAGCCCGTCCAAGAAGGGAGCCCCCCCGCATTTCTCAGAGAAGCGATGCATGAGCCAAAGCCCTTGGGCGTCGGCTTCTGCCTGCGCTGAAACCGGATCTTTCTCTGGTTCTTTGAACCTTGAGAAAACCGGGGGAAAACAAAAAAACAACAGACTCTTTACGACTGACTGGCCCGAAATCTCGGGGCTTCGGGGCTTCGGGGGACCGCGGTGCGCGGAGTTTAGGAGTTCACGCAGGATAGGACCCCATGGGTGGAACTGGAAAGGCCGACATCGAGCGACGCAGGTTCAAGGCCTGGAGAAGCGGCTGCTGCGCAGCCCCTTGCTGCCAGGCAACGTTGCATGATGGCTTCAGTGCGCGGGTAAGTCTTCGGCCACGCTGGCTCGCTCATTTTCTGAAAGGAGCCCAGGTAGATTGTCTGGCTTACTTGGAGGCTCAGCTTCCCAAGCTCTGATTGCCAGCGTTTGGGGCCCCCGATTTCGGGCCGCTTTGACGCTGCAACGAAGCCTGAGCCTTGTCTCGAGGCCTGGCTGCGGGGACCTCGGACCCTGCGAAGCAAGCCACGCGTGACTGCGTTTTGCGCCAAACTGGACCGAGTTAGATCTTCACGTCGCCATACTGAGAAAAGATGGTACGACCTTGACTCTTTGTTTTTTTTCTTCTTCTGCGCTATTGGGGCACAGAGAGCAGCAAAGGAAGCCTGGACCTTTGAAAGGCATGGGATACATTCGATTGAACAGCAAGCAACCGGTTAAGAAACATGCAACCCCGAATGCAGCTCTTCCAGGGGCTGCTTCGGTGCGCACAGCTTTGAGTTTGTGCCTAGGCTTTCCGGCGGAAGGCGCCGGTGCTGAGGATTGATGTAATTGGCATGCAGGTTTCAAGCGCTGAAGGTACTTTGAAGGAGCGGTCTCATGGAATACATGGGTCTTTCTTTGCTCGTGTCAACAGAAGGCATCATGGCCCATGTGAACGTGGAATACGCCGGGTAACCCTCTCACCGCAGGATGGGAGATCCTGGAGCCGGGTATTTGATTCATTACCAACTTCCTGCTTTGCAGACTCTACTTGTGAGCACAGGGTGATCATGAATCAATTAAGGACGCTTGTGATGTGCAGACGCAGCGCTTCGGCTTGTGCGCAAGATGGTTGACACTTAAGACTTGAATCTAAGAGCAAGCTACTTGCACTCCACCGGGCAAGACAAGCAGACTTCGAATCAACTAAGACCTAGACCGACCCTCTCACTTTGCGCAGATTTGTCTTCAACGGCTCGAAATGCGAAGGCCGCGAAGCGTTTTCTGCTCCGGACGCTGGGATCTCGGTGCCATGGCACAGACCCCCAGCGCCACACCTGGCACGCCGCCGGCCACCCCGGCCACGCCTGGAGAGCCTGAGGTGGAGACAGAGGCACAGAAGGCGCGTCGCGGGGGTTCTCGTGTGCTGCTCCTAGCCTTGGGTTTCCCTTGTGTTTTTTTTGTGGTTCCCCTCGTTCTTCACGCGTGGCTTCTTTTTTTTGAAAAGAAAGAATCAGGCAAGACACAGTTATTCAACAATACGACTGATGATCAGTTTATGGAACGAGAACGATCTACAAAACAGGGTTCTCGCGTCCCGATCAAAGAACATTTAGTTTGGTTAGGAGAATTGAGTGGCAGGCGCAGCATTCTGCAGTCTGGACAGATCGCGAAGGCTACCTCTGTTTCGCGCGCGGGTTCGCCGCAGTTTCGCCGCGGTCTCGCCCCGGGTTCGGAAATGGCCCTACTGGCACGGCTGCGCACACTGCCTCGGCGTGCCCGATGAGCCCTCTGCAGGGATCGTGCGTGTCGGAGCGCTCTCGCTGTGGCGCCGTCAAAGCGCTCGCTGAAGGGGATCGTGCGGGTCAGAGCGCTCTTGCTGCGCGCCGCGTGATCTTGCAAAGTATGAAAGTAGTACACGAAGCGCGTACCCGCAGCTTCGGCTCGAAAAACGCAACCTTTAAATATGAAAGTAGTACGCGACGTACTTTCCCGTAGCTCCGTCCAGCTCAAAAGTCGCAACTTGTGAGCGCGAAGCTTCTGGAGCTGTGGCTTGAAAGTTGCAACTTAAGTGCGAAAGTGGCGCTCGAAGTACGCTCCTGCACAAGTTGCTCTGCACAAGGTGCCTTTTGCAAGTGCTCCGTGCAGGTTGCCCTGAGCCAGTTGTTCTGTGCAAGTTTCTCTGTGCAAGCTGTTCTGCAAGTTTCCTTTGCTCAAATTGCAGTGTGCAAGTTGCTGTCTGCAAGTTGCTGTGTGCAAGTTGCTCCGCGCGCAGCCCTTCTGGATTTCCTGAAGCATGTTTTTGCTACAGATGAATTGTTCTTCTAGAAGCTTCCATCATCTTGGTAGTTATAAACAAGCCAGGTAGTTATAAACAAGCCAGCTCCTTGGTGCTTCTATAAAATGGTGTCCCAGTTTAAGCGGATGCTCTTTTGGGACACCCTGTGTTGCGCCGGGCTGATCTCGAGATGCATTGGACACTTTAAAGAGTGTTCTTTTTAGACAGCCTTTGCTCAGGCGCAGCGCGAGCAGCTGACGAACAGCGCCTGCGAGCGTGCGCGGCCTGTTGTGAAGAAGCTCTTTTGTGTGCCGGAGGCACTGGTGCGAACAGGACGATGAAGCAAACCAACCTGTAAAGGAGATTATCTTGAGATACCCCCAACTGGCCCTGAAGGGTTCCAACAATTTCCTAAGCAAGCTATTCTGGTCGTTGACTACTTTAGTTTTTTGCGGGACATGGGTGCTCAATTCCGCGGTGTTTGCTTTTTCGTTCTAGGGTTAGTTTGGTTAGCTTCAGGCTCATGCAACATGACAATCAATTATTAAAATCTCTGTGTAAATATCCACCAAGGGTACCCAGTTGAAACTCATGCCCCATAAATCCAAAGTCCATTGTGGCATGAGCTCTCATGTCGCATGCAGCGTCTGGTGTGCTGCATAGGACTCAGGACAGCAGGGCGCAACGAGTGTTCACACACCTAGCCAGTCAGTCCTTTCGCGGTGTGAAAAACATCACTTTTGCGCAGAACTTTTATCTGTGCCAGTCTTTCCGCTTCCTTGGTGGCTTCCAGATGACTTGGACACCGCCGCGATATTTTTCTCCAAGCTGCCTCGAAAAAAAGTTGCCCTGAAGGCAAGACCATTCAACAACCAGGAGCTTGACTTCTCCCAGGCGCGGGTTGTGTGTGAACTGTGGCAATGTCTCCGAACGAGAGAGTGGCATTCCATTCCTGCCACACATGGAAGGCCTTAGGTTTCGGATCAGCAGGGGCAGCCGAGGGATTGAGGAGCTTCCTAGGTGCTGCTGCTCTCCTGCAACTACATCCAGCAGTATTTCAATCCTGAGAATGACATTGGTCCTCGCGAGGATCCGGATGCGTCTTGGCGCGTTTTTCGCAGCTTCAGGCCTCTCAACTTCAAGCTTTGCACGTGATCGGAGCTGTAGAGTTCTTGCTTTGCTGCCGAACTGCACTGTTCAACTTGGGTGCGGTTTGAACAAGGGTCTTGTGTTTGAGAGCCTCTTTCTGGGCGTCTAAAAAGCAAGCCAAGGAGATCTGCCAAGTCAACTGAGTCGAAACAGCACCAACTGAAAACTTCCTCAAGGAACGAAGGAAGATAGGAATCCAATTGGTGAGGGGCCGTTTGGAACGCGGCATGGCGTCCAGGTAGTGGCGCTGAGCTGTGTCTTCCTGGCCTGCAAAGTCGCCGAGATGCCGCGGCGGATCAAAAATGTGGCTTGGCTGCGGATCTTTTTTTGGCCCGGGGGTCGTCGGGTGTTTCCGGGTTGGTTCAAAGGGAAGGGACAACCGAAGCTGGGGGCCCCAAATCTCTTTGATACATACCCAAGCACCAGACCTGAGAGCCCCGGGTTGACCCCTCCGCGCGGGGCAAAGAGAAAACGGCGTGCTAGGTTTGAGGAGCATTCTCGAAAGGACGCAAAAATCCACATGGTTTAATGAGGGTCCCCACTCGAAGTTCATACCCACATGTTAGGACCAAGGTAAATTTGTTTCTACACGAGGAACGCCTTTCTCCCTTAAACAAACACCCAAGCTGTTCTTGATGCCCTGGGGACCCCATGTTTTGTTATGGTTCTACCTCGTGGCCAGCCAGCTTGTCAAGAACCTTGTCAGAACCCATCATGTGGTCATTAGCGCGGAAAATGTGCACGTGCTGAGATTAGAAAAGCCAGGGGTCCTCTAAGCCAGGGCGCAGACGTCCAAAGATGGGCGAAGGGGGTTTGTGTCAAAAAGTGACCAGAAAGGGTTGGGCTCTTTTTGGTGTTCCCCAAGAAAACCTCGTAACCAAACACGGGGGTTCAGCAAAAGAGGGACATGCAAAATGAAAGTCTTGCGATTCGGGCGGCTTGGGCCAGTGCATCTCTCGTTGATTTGATTCGTTCAGTTGGGGAAAATCGTGATGGGCGCGAGCGCCACAGGCAAAGCATACAGAGTGGATCCTGACAAATACAGCGTGGCAGATAATGCCAGCATGGCGTGCTCGATTGGGCTTGAAGTATTTCCATGGGGGGCTCGCTGCTTCAGAGTCCACAGCCAATGGCAAGCGTTTTGGCAGCCATACCACGAGTTCAGACGCAGCACGCAGCAGCCAGACTTAAACTTGCCGAATGATCAGGTGATCCGGGCGCACAACCAGGTTTTACAAGAGGAAAGCTGCTGGGCGGCAAAGTTGCCGGTACGGTCCCGAGTTTTGGCCAAAGCTTTTGCGTATGGTCAACTTGTAGGGACAAATTGGGGACTCACTAAAAGTCATCTACAGAGACCAGCGCAACTCACAAAATGTCCCATGTCGATTGTAGAGGTCCAATTGCGCATCTCAGGGCAACGCAAATGTTTCGCTTTCAACTAGCACAAGCCAGTTCTGTGCAAGAGGCTGAACCCATTGACTGAAAATCGCAACGAGAGTGGTTGTTTCTGGCTCGAGCTAGCGGCACCTCCGAGACCCGTGCAAGAACTGGCCTCTCACCAGCAAGGAAGGGCGGACACCCCGTTTGGAAGACCAATTCCTGTTGGAAAGGAACGGTTTGCGCACTTCCGTCTTGATGAGAGTACCATCAAAGTTGACGAGCAGGGCAGGGACGGTGTTTGGTTTTTCTTTAAGAAACCATGTGGTTTGGTTGGTTCCTGCGCCGCCGCCCAGAACGGCCTGAGCTCTCCGACGAGAAGCAGACTCGGTTGGTGGACCGAATGCTGAAGAGACCCGAACGCATGAACGAAGGTCAATGAATCGCACACGTGGGGGTTGATCAAAAAGTCCGCTACATGGGATGACCATTGGTCGGAACTTGACCAAAAACATGAGGCCTTTTCAACCACATGGGAAAAGTTACCCATAGTCATTTGGGGGCCGAACGGAATATTGATCAACCGCCACACACCTTTTTATGCCATCGTTGGCTTCTCCACGAAGTGTGACGGTGTGATTTTGCAGAAGCGTGTTTATGTCGAAGTGAAATGTCTGCTTTTTGTTTCAAGCACAGGCAGGAAAGCTCCTGTCATTTGCTTTCATTATTTTGGCCAACGTCTTTCAAAGCTCCTTGCTCTGCACGTGCTGACAGATTTATGTGTCCACCTTGGGATTGGTCCGGCTTCTGCGGGACCCTGACCTTACTGCAGTGAGGATGGCGCTGTGAGCACTAGCCGGGCTTTCAACAGCTGAGGGTGGAGTTCATCCTCCTCAGAATCTCGGCCTTTCACTTTGATGCCATGCTGCCGCTGCAGTACATCGATGAGCAGTTGGACAGACGCCGAACAAAGGGAACTTCAGGTTTTGCCTTTCTTTTTTTTCTTCTATGTGCGAGAGA